GCGCGAGGGGAGGGGGGAGTGGGGGGAGGAGGGGGAGGATGATGACTTGAGGGGGGGAAGAGAGAGAGAGACACACAGAGAGAACAAGGGAAAAACCCGGACGTCCTCCTCCTCCTTCCTTGGCGCGCATCTCCCGCCCGCTCCTGATTTGCCACGGAGGGAGGGGCCCCCCGCCAGATTGGCCGCCCCTGCCCTCCCTCGGCTCGGTTTCCATGGAAGGGCTCCTGCCCATCACTGTCAAGCGCCTGCCAATCAACAGCGCCCGCCCATCCAACGCAAGGAGCCGCTCAGCGCAACCCCACCGCACAGGCCTCCCTCCCCCCATAAGGGCACCCTACAGATAGAACTGGCCCTTTGATGGGGACCAAACTGCTGATGCGACCCCCGATGAATTTCAGTTTGACACCCCTGAATTAGAGCATACAACAGTACTTTTTAAAAGGAATTCATTTTGTTATTCACTACTTTGAATCAGCAGCACATCCTTAGTATTAGTTTCTTGCAGAAGCAATTCATGCCCTTTTTACTAGCACATTGCCATCCAGTATTGTTACTAGAGCAACCATTAAGAAAATGTTTTTTGGTTTCCTCGAGTGGACAATTTTGTTTATTATTAGAGCATACAACAGTACTTTTTAAAAGGAATTCATTTTGTTATTCACTACTTTGAATCAGCAGCACATCCTTAGTATTAGTTTCTTGCAGAAGCAATTCATGCCCTTTTTACTAGCACATTGCCATCCAGTATTGTTACTAGAGCAACCATTAAGAAAATGTTTTTTGGTTTCCTCGAGTGGACAATTTTGTTTATTGAAACACACATCAGAAAGTAAAGCTGTCCGTGGCACTGTCTTCCCAAATGACTTCCAAACACTCTCATGCACTATCCAAATGGAGATGCAATGAGATTTGACTCTGTCCTCTAAGATCGGCTTTACTATTAATTGCCCTATAACTCTCTCTTGTCACATGTCTAATTCTCACCTGTTACACAGCATGTAATCCAAAAAAGAGAGACCAGCAAGGCAGCAGCACAAGTTGAGCCATGCCTGTGATTTTTCCACCTTTCATTACTCTCCAGCCTCAAACATTTCTTGAATACAAATGTGGAAGTCTAAAAAATAGAGATTTGAATATGAAGCCCACTGGCACAGGTGGCTAGCTTCATTACCTCCTGCCCCTAGTCCGCGCTGGATCACTTACCACACGGCGCACGATGTGTATCATCTCCTGCGCCCCTATCACGGCAGTAGCTTGGCTGCCATAGCCTCGCCTCCCTGCTTGCCCAGCCACTCGGGCAAGGGGGCGGGAGGACGAGTCTCTCTGCTCAGCCACAGAATGGCTAGGTGAGCAGGGAGGTGGAGCTGCAGCAGCTGAGCTAGTGCTGGAATTGGGGCACAGGAGATGATGCCGGGCATATGTGCCATGTAGTACGTGGTCCAGTGGTGTATGGGAGTGGGAGGGTAATCAGGCTGGCCACCTGTGACAGCTGGTTTCATATTCATATTTGAATACAAAGCCCCTATCTCTACTGAAAAAGACAGAAGTGAACATGTTATGGACAGTCTCATATTACAGA